CTGGCTCTTGAAGTTGTTGAGAACAAGAGCCTGGCTGTGGGTTGGAAGCCAGTGGCTGAAGTGAAGCCACCTCATAGGGCTGGTGGCAAGAAGGTGAAAAACATGGTGATGCTGAGTGTGGCCAGGCCTGTCCCTGCATGGGAAGCCAGCTGAGCAGCCCGCTGGGGACTGCTGTCAACACAGATGCTCATTCTTAATGGGGAACACATTGCAGGCCAGGGGCCAGGGTTGCCCTCTGCGCAGGAGGTGGGGAGAGCAGTGTGGACGGTGGCCCAGCAGTGACTTAGCAGACGGGAATAAGGAGACTCCCACCTGTGTGTAGAGGGCAAAGCCAGCAAGAAGGGTGTTGCTGGCACCAAAGAGCCCACAAAGGCCCAGGACATGGCAGCTCGGGAACCTCCGAGGATGGGTTGAGGAAGGAGGCTGATGAGAAGGGACTTGTCTGCACGTCTCCATGGGGAAGTTGTGCTTCTAGATCTGAGCCTCTCAACTCTACAGAGCGAGGCAGTTTTCCCCTCCTGCCAGGGAATGAGCTGGTTCTGTGGGGAAAAGAAATGCATCATGAAGGTTCCGAGGGCAGAAACCAGGCACAGCAAGGAGCTGGGGCCGCCGGAAGGCAAGGGCCTGGGAGAGGAGGACTGGATCAGCTTCTCTGGTGTGAAAGGAAGGTGTCTCCCTGAGACCCCAGAATGCCACCAGCCAGAAGGAACTATACCCCAAGTGGGAGATTGAGGGATTCCACAGTGGAGAAAAAGGCTTGTAGGTCTTGAAATTTGGAGTCTCTCAACACAGAGCCCAGGCTGGTCTCTGATTCTCAGAGGGAGAAGCCTGCAGGTGCTGTCAACATGTGTGCAGATATTCGAATCAACTGCCTGGGCCTGGGTCTTACTCTTAAATGTGAGCACACCAGCAAGGACCTCCAGGGATTTCTGCAAAACTTACAGCATGACAGACGTGGATATGTGTTTGCCTGCCATGAGCCATGCCCCATGCTGTAAGGATGGAGCAGTGGAGGAAACAGGACACCACACACACTTAATGTACCAGTCCATTGGTTTCCTGCAATTTCCGTAACAAATGACAAAAACCTGGAGGGCTTAAAACAGCACCAGTTCTTCTCTTAGGGTTCTGAAGTCCTGTGGGTCCCAGTGAGTCTTGTGGAGCTAAAGGGAAGGTGTCAGCAGCCCTCTCTGTGGGGAGTCTGCAGGAGAGAATTCACTGCCTTGTCTTTTCTGGCTTCCAGGGGACACTCAGATTCCTTGGCTCTGTGCCACCTCACACTGACTTTCTCTTTCTCTGTTGTGAAATATCCTGTCCTCTGCCTTGTTTTATTAAGCATGCCTGTGATTGCATTTGGCCCAGTTGGATAACGCAAGATAATTTCCCCATCTCAAGGTCTTTAATCCCACTGTGAACGTCCCTTTTGTCTCCTAAGACAACATATTCATGGGTTCCCTGGGACTAGGGCATGAATATTCTTATAGGGAGGGTCATGATTCCAGCAATGTAAGCGTGGCAAGTGGGCAGTTTCTACAGGTGTGTGCGTGGGGGGCTGTCAGGCTTGTGCACTCAAACCATCGCCCTCCCCTCAATTCCGCAGCGTGCTATTAATGCAGGGAATGAGATGCCATAAGGTGACAGTGTCTTGGGATGGCACAGATGCTGGCAGGATTCCCTTCCCTGGGTCCATTTGTGGACAGTCAGAGCTGCCCCAGGCTGAATGCCCTATGTACTTGCAGCTTTGCAAGGTTTATACATTTCTTTTTTTAAAAGCTACTAAACTGGGGGTGGTGCCTGTAGCTCAAGAAGTAGGGCGCTGGCCCCATGTAGTGGGGGTGGTGGGTTTAAGCCCGGCCCTGGCCAAAACTGCAAAAAAAAAAAAAAGCTACTAAACTGAAACTCACAGTTAATCTTACAAAGGATACAGCATTGAAAATTGGATGTTTGAAAAACACCTGTGTTTCTTGCACTCAAAGAAAAACTGTTTAGCTCTTGAAGGAGCCCGCCTTTGGTACAGAGATCATTTAGGGGTGGGAGGGACAGTCGTGTTCTGTTTCTGTTCCAGTGGAGGAGACAAAGGACAGGGTGTGGTTCACAAACAAACCCACAGGAAAGAGAGGATAAAATTCTTTGCCTCACAACCTCTAAAACAAGTGTTCTTTTTTAAACATTTATTGTCTGGGGCAGGTGAGTTTGAAAATGGCCCCTGGAGAAACTTGTGCAAGGAGGGAGAGGTGCTGAGAGAAGGGAAGGTGTGGCCAACCACAAGCCGATGTCCTTCACACTACTCTGTCCTTGTCCCTTAGGAAGATGAGGGCCCTTTGCGTCCTGCTGTTACTCCTGTGTGGAGCCCAGAGCCAGGAGGACGCGCCACGGCCCAACATCGTCCTGCTGATGGCTGACGACCTCGGCATTGGAGACCTGGGATGCTATGGGAACAAGACTCTCAGGTGGGGTCACTGAGCTCCTGCATAAACGTGTGGCAGGTACTGGTGCCTGGGTGTGACTCTCAGGTGGGGTCACTGAGCTCCTGCATAAATACGGGGCAGGTACTGGTCCCTGGACATAAGTCTCAGGTGGGGTCACCGAGCTCCTGCATAAATACGGGGCAGGCACTGGTCACTGGACATGACTCTCAGGTGGGGTCACTGAACTTCTGCACAAAGAGGGCAGGCACTGGTCCCTGGACATGACTCTCAGGTGGGGTCACCGAGCTCCTGCATAAATACAGGGCAGGCACTGGTCCCTGGACATGACTCTCACGTGGGGTCACTGAACTTCTGCACAAAGAGGGCAGACACTGGTCCGGGGATGGCTAGCAGATCTGTGAGTCACACACCACCAAGAAATGTTTCCAGCCCTCTCAGTGGCACAAGTCCACACACAGCTCTGTACTTCTGTGCTGTGGACAAGTCTTGTGCTGCTTTGCACACACTCTCCCCTCCAGCCCTTGGGTCTGCCACTCTCCTCTTCTCTTTTTGGCATCTGGCTCTGTTGTGCTTGACTCTGAACCTGTCCTATTCCATCCCACTTGTCAGTCAGCCACCCTCAACTCCACACCTAACTCTCCTCCCTCTGAGGCCCTTCTTCCTCAGCCACCCAGGTTGTTGGTCCATCCAGGCTGTTGTACCAAATCCCAGGGCCGGCTGGGTGACTTACAAACAGCAGGTGTTTACTGCTCACAGTCCTGGAGGCTGGAAGTTCAAGATGCTGTCTGTGTTGACAGTTGCTGTGTCTGGTGGGGACTCACGTCCTGGTTCACAGATGGTGCCTTCTGGCTGTGCCCTCGTGTGGTAGAAGGGTCCACAGAGCTCTCTGGGGTCCCTTTTATAAATCATGAGTCTCCACCTTCAAGGCTTCATCACCAACCAAAGGCCCCACCTCCTAATTCTATCACCTGGGGAGGAAAGTTTTGACATGCGAATTTAGAGGGGATACAAACATTCAGACCAGGGCACTGAGACACACTCATGGGGAGAGATGTCATGTTTTATGATAACTAACTTTTTACCGCAATGGTGGAATAAAACACAAGAACTAGACTCAGGACCATCAGATGCTTGTGTCTTTGTTTCCAAGCCCTTTGCCAAAAATTGACTCGATGGCTTGGCGCCCGTAGCTCAGTGGTTAGGGCACTGACCACATACACCAGGACTGGTGGGTTCAAATCCAGCCCAGGCCTGCTAAACAACAATGACCAGCCAGGCATTGTAGCTGGCACCTGTAGTCCCAGGTACTTGGGAGGCTGAAGCAAAAGAGTCGCTGAAGCCCAAGAGTTTGAGGTTGCTGTGAGCCATGATGCCACAGCACTGTACCCAGGGTGACATACTGAGACTGTCTCAAAAAAAAAAAATATGACTCAATGTAAGACAGATTATGAAGGCCCTTTAGTTGAAGAGAGAAAGTGAGTCCTTGTG